ACAGAGTGTATCCTCAGCAAGTTTGCTGATGACACAAAACTGGGAGGAGTGGCTGACACAACAGAAGGCTGTGCTGCCATACAGTGAGACCTGGACAGTCTGGAGAGTTGGGCAGAGAGGAACCTAATAAAATTCAACAAGGGCAAGTGTAGGGTCCTGCACCTGGGGAGGAATAACCCCATACACTGGTACAGGTTAGGGGTTGACCTGCTGGAAAGCAGCTCTGCAGAGAGAGACCTGGGAATCCTGGTGGACAAGTTGACCATGAGACAGCAATGTGCCCTTGTGGCCAAGAAGGCCAATGGTCTCCTGGGATGCATTAAAAAGAGTGTGGCCAGCAAATCGAGGGACTTCATCCTCCCCCTCTACTCTGCCCTGGTGAGGCCACATCTGGAGTACTGTATCCAGTTCTCGGTCCCCCAGTTCAAGAAGGACAGGGAACTACTGGAGAGAGTCCAGTGCAGGGCTACAAAGATGATCAAGGGATTGGAGCACCTCTCATGAGGAAAGGCTGAGAAACCTGGGTCTGTTTAGCCTTAAGAAGAGAAGACTGTGAGGGGATCTTATCTACGCTTATAAATATCTAAAGGGTGGGTGTCAAGACGGTGGGACCAGACTCTTTTCAGTGGTGCCCAGCGACAGGACAAGGGGCAACGGGTACAAGCTGGAACACAGGAAATTCTATCTAAACATGAGAAAAAAACTTGTTTACTTTGAGGGTGACAGAGCACTGAAACAGGCTGCCCAGAGAGGTAGTGGAGTCTCCTCTGGAGATATTCAAAACCCGCCTGGATGCATTTCTGTCCAACCTGCTCTAGGTGAACCTGCTTTGGCAGGGGGGTAGGACTAGATGATCTCCGAAGGTCCCTTCCAACCCGTACCATTCTGTTATTCTATGATAGCTAATAATAGCAGCCGTGGTCACACAGCTGTCAATTCATTTATTACACCTTCATATTTTGAATATGCAACCCTATGATATGGCTAGGGATATGAGAACATTCTTACAATGCCTTTGATTTTTGAGGATTTATACTGATTTCCTTGCAGTATGTTTCATAATAATTTCCATTATTTTGAATGGTGAGTGAAAACAAAGATGAAAAGATACCATCTTTATGCTTTAATTTTTAACCCAAATATTTACTGATTTGAGGCCACCAGACATTTCTGTTAAAAATAACATATAAGGACTGTTTTCAAATGGATTATCAAATAGGGGTCTGATCAGGAGATATATACCTTTCAGTGCTAACAGAGTTAATGTCTGTCTGTAAGCCAAATCCTTAGACAAAATAAAAAAGCTTAAAATTCGGAACAAATGCAGTAAACTCTCTGCACATAGACTGCATATGGAATTCCTCTGATTTTTAAAGGTATTGGGTGTGGAGTAGTTTGCAGGATTAAGCTCTAATTTTGAACTCAAATGTTCATATGCATTGATCTCACTGAGGGGGCTCAAACTCTGCCATTCTATATGTACATAAAGCTCTCACTGATTTCCCATTTGCTGTTTGGAGAGGGGGAGGTAATCAAATCAGCATTCTTATAAAAATTGTGTGGGAATATAATTAGGTTTTGTATGTCACAAAGCTATAAGACAACACAGATACAGAGAAAAAGATTTTTTTTACTGAACATTTTTATGCCTTTTACATATTTAAGGAAACAAACTTCTTATTTCTTCATTTAGGACAGAGCCTGAACCTAACCATATTGAAGTTCCTGCAAAATTATTCCTCAGAGAAAGCAGACAGGGTTCAGGCTTATTTAGTGAGAAAACCCAAATTCCTTTAAAATGTAGTTTAGAACTCAACACATTGCACAATATGCAATACTAATAGGAAAAAAACCAATAAAGTCATACATTCTTAGACAAAATGGATGTTTAAGAAGAAAGCCAGTTCCACTAAACTCAAGTAAAATGCTGTCACTGATTTCATTGGAGTTGAAAATTTGCCCTTATGGCCTGAATCTGCTTACTCTCATACAGGTATGAATCTGAAGTTACTCCTCACATTTGGTTCTGTTTCACAAGGAACTGTGATAGGAGAGTGATATGAATTAAATCCTTTTTTTCTGTTACACTTTTGAAAAACAAAGACCATGGTATCCTTCTGTTTGTGCTGGGTAGCAAGTATTCTTCATTATGCATAGGCTAGTATTTGTAAGAAAATGTGATGATAATTAAACTTAAATTAGATAATAAAACCCAGGAAAATATAATTTTATTTTCCAATACACTAACTATTTTTGCAAGAACATACCCAGATAGTAATGGTATTCTAACTATGGCTTCATTAAGTATTCAAATTTTATAGGCAATAATAATTTCCTGTAAGGAGCATTCATGCATTCTACATTCCTCAGTTTAATAGGGAAAACCTCTAAGTTTTCAATGATGTCGAATGACTGACTTTACCTACATCATCTTCAAGATCTTCCCCCCCCCTCCCTTTCATATGAATGGTTTCTGTTTGTGATTTGTTTGAATATAATTTTTGTGTACTGAACTGTTCAATTCCATCATTTGCTTCTCTATATGATTTAACCAAATCAGCCTAACTTGTCTTTTTTGATTTTGACACCACTTCCTCTAACTTTTTTTTGAATTTCCAAGGAAACCATTTAACCCACAGATGCTGGGTTCCAAAATGCAGGATACTACAGAGTCAAATACTTGCCAGATAGTAGTTTCAAGCCAAGAAACCCCTGAAATGACAAATTATCCAGATTACCCATTAGATCTAATAGGTCTAATTGCTATAAAAAAAAAACAAACCACCAAACAAAACAACAACCAAACAAAAACACAAAAAAAACCCACCACAACCACCAAAAAAACAAACCAAACCAAAGGTCATGGGTCATAGTTGTCACCAGGACAGAAACCACAGACAACAACAATTAAAGTTCTCAAGTCAACAATGATCTCAACCAACCATTAAAAAAAGATAACAGTCACAAGGGTTCTGCAAAAATGCAGTTTGCAAGATGTGAATATATTTTCTTTTTTATTCACTGACACAATGTATAAGA